ACATAGTCAACAGACTCCAAGAAAACAGATGCCAACCAAGAATACTCTATCCCGCAAAGCTCTCCTTCCTCTATGAAGAAAGAATAAGGACCTTCCCAGACAAAGAGAAACTCTGGAATTTCATTACGACTAAACCCCCACTCCAAAAAATACTACAAGGAATCCTAAAGCCAGAACCTCAGAAGGACGAATAACAACGAAAGAAGGCCAAAAAAAAAAAAAAAAAAAGGTATTAAAAGAATAAATAAAATCAAAGGAAAGACAAACACAATGGCAAATACAAATGCTAACATATCAATATTAACTCTAAATGTAAATGGACTAAACTCTTCAATAAAAAGACACAGAGTTGCAGCCTGGATTAAGAAACAAAACCCAACCTTTTGCTGTCTCCAGGAAACACATTTAGCTACAAAAGATAAAAATAGGCTCAGTTAAAGGATGGAAAACAATCCTACAAGCAAATGGACCAAAAAAGAAAGCAGGAACAGCTATACTTTTATCAGATAAAACAGATTTCAAACTCAAAAAAATAAAAAGAGACCCCAATGGTCACTACATCATGATCAAGGGGACAATACTTCAAGAAGAAATAACACTCATTAACATATACTCACCAAACGAAGGAGTACCAAAATATATCAGACAACTGTTGTCCTCTCTGAAAACAGACATCAGAGAAAACACACATGTAGTGGGAGACTTCAACACACCACTATCAACAATGGATAGATCAACAAGACAAAAAATAAGTAAAGAAACTAAAGCTCTAAATAAGGACCTAGAGCATTTGGGCTTAACAGACATCTATAGAACACTAAACCCAAAAAAAACGGAGTACACATTTTTCTCAAGCGCACATGGATCATTCTCCAGGATCTATCACATACTGGGGCACAAGACAAACATCAACATATACACCAAGACTGAAATCATATCAACCATCTTTTCTGACCATGAAGGCATCAAACTAGAAATAAACCATAAAAAGAAGGCAAGGAACTTTCCTACCTCATGGAGATTAAAAACCACACTACTGGGGGCCTCCCCGGTGGCGCAGCGGTTGAGCGCTGGGTTGCGAAGCTGCGCGCGGCCTCTGCGGCGCCGGTTCGATCCCCGGCTGCTCCCCGGCCACCAGAGGAGGGTCCCACATGGCGCGCAGACCTCTCCTGCCGCCCGCTGCTCCCCTCAGCAGTGTGCTTCGGTCCTTCTGCCTGCTCTGCTCCCCGCTCTGGCTCTGGTGAATTCTCTCGCCCTCCCGAGCTTCTGACTGTACCCAGTGCATGTATAAACAAAACAAACAAACAAACCAGCAAACAAATAAATAAAGCATGCCTCTATAAAAAAAAAAAAAAAAAAAAAAAAAAAAAACCACACTACTGGAAGACCACTGGACTAATGAGGAGATCAAAGAAGAAATTAAAAAATTCTTTGAATTGAATGACAAGGAGGACACCAATATCCTAAATGTATGGGATGCAGCAAAAGCAGTAATAAGAGGAAAATATATAGCAATAGAAGCTCACATCAAGAAACAAGAAAGAACTCAAAGAAACAACCTAATCTCGAAGCTCAAAGATCTAGAAAAAGAACAACAAAAAAAACCCAAAACCAGTAGAAGAAAAGAAATAATAAAAACCAAAGCAGAAATAAATGAAATTGAAACTAAAAAAACAATCCAAAAGATCAATGAAACCAAGAGCTGGTTCTTTGAAAAAATCAATAAAATAGACAAACCCCTAGCCAGGCTCACAAAGGAAAAAAGGGAGAAAGCACAAATAAACAGGATCACAAATGAAAGAGGAGAAATCACAACGGACACAGCAGAAATCAAAAGAATAATCAGTAACTACTATGAACAGTTATATGGAAACAAGTTCAACAATCTAGAGGAGATGGACAAATTCCTACAACTCTACAATCACCCAAAGCTAGATAAAGAAGAAATAGAACACCTAAACAGACCAATTACAATTAGCGAAATTGAAATGGTAATCAAAAACCTCCCCAAAAACAAAAGCCCAGGACCTGATGGATTTACAAATGAATTCTACCAAACATTCAGAGACGAATTAGTGCCTATCCTTCACAAACTCTTTCAAAAAATTGAGAAGGAAGGGACAATACCAAACACGTTCTATGAAGCCAACATTACACTAATACCAAAACCAAACAAGGACAACACAAAAAAGGAAAACTATAGGCCAATCTCCCTAATGAACACTGATGCAAAAATCCTCAATAAAATTTTAGCTATCAGAATCCAACAATGTGTCCATAAGATAATTCACCACGACCAAGTAGGATTCATTCCAGGGACACAAGGATGGTTCAACATCCGAAAATCAATCAACGTTATCCAACACATCAACAAAAAGAAATATAAAAACCATATGATAATATCAATAGATGCTGAGAAAGCTTTCGACAAAGTGCAACACGCATTCATGATAAAAGCCCTTGAAATTCTTGGGATACAAGGAACATACCTCAACATCATAAAGGCCATTTATGACAAGCCAACAGCCAGTATCATTCTCAATGGTGAAAAGCTGAAAGCAATTCCATTAAGATCTGGAACAAGACAAGGATGTCCACTCTCACCACTGCTCTTCAATATAATACTGGAAGTCCTAGCCAGAGCAATAAGACAAGAGAAAGACATCCAAGGAATCCAAATAGGAAAAGAAGAAGTCAAACTATCACTATTTGCAGATGATATGATAATATACATAGAGAACCCCAAAAACTCCACAGAAAAACTAATTCAACTCATCAATCAGTTCAGTAAAGTGGCAGGGTACAAAATCAACACGCAAAAGTCAGTAGCCTTCCTATACACAAACAATAAATCTGAAGAAGAAGAAATCAAAAAAACCATCCCTTTTATTATTGAAACAAAAAAAATCAAATATTTGGGAATAAATCTAACAAAAGAGGTAAAGGACCTATACAAAGAAAACTATAAAACACTGTTAAAAGAAATAGAAGAAGACACAAAGAAATGGAAAGACATCCCCTGCTCATGGATTGGAAGAATAAACATTATTAAAATGGCCATCCTACCAAAAGCAATATACAGATTCAATGCTATTCCAATCAAAATTTCAATGTCATTCTTCAAAGAAATAGAACAATTATTGATGAAATTCATATGGAATCACAAAAAACCCCGAATAGCCAAAGCTCTCCTGAAAAAAAAGAAGGGAATGGAGGCATCACACTCCCAGACTTCAAACTCTACTACAAAGCCATAATCATCAAAACTGCATGGTATTGGAACAAGAACAGACACACAGACCAATGGAATCGAATAGAAAATCCAGAAATAAACCCACAGATTTATGGTCAACTAATCTTTGATAAAGGAGCAAAGACTATGCATTGGAGCAAAGAAAGTTTGTTCAATAAATGGTGCTGGGAAAACTGGGTCGCTACATGCAAAAGAATGAAGCTTGACCACTACCCCACACCATACACAAAAATCAACTCAAAATGGATTAAAGAACTAGACAGAAGACCTGAAACCATAAAATATATAGAAGGAAATATAGGCGAAACACTACATGATTTGCACATCAAAGACATCTTTACAGGCACATCACCCAAAGCAGTGATAGTGAAGGCAAAGATAAACAGCTGGGACTACATCAAATTAAAGAGCTTCTGCACAGCAAAAGAGACAATAACAAAAACAAAGAGAAACCCCACCAACTGGGAGAATATTTTTGCACACAACACTAATGATAAAGGACTGATCACAAAAATCTGCAAAGAGCTGATGAGACTCAGCAACAACAAAGAAAATAACCCAGTCAAAAAAATGGTCAGAAGAGCTAAAAAGAAACTTCTCTGAAGAGGAAATGCAAATGGCCAATAGGCATATGAAAAAATGTTCAACATCACTTGTAATCAGGGAAATGCAAATCAAAACTACCATGAGATACCATCTTACACCAGTGAGAATGGCACATATTAAAAAAACTAGCAACAAGTGTTGGCGAGGGTATGGAGAAAAAGGAACTCTTCTGCACTGTTGGTGGGAGTGCAAACTGGTCCAACCACTATGGAGAGCTGTGTGGAGATTTCTGGACCTACTAAACATAGAGCTTCCATATGATCCAGCAATTCCACTCCTAGGTATTTACCCAAAGGACACAGAAACATCAATTCCAAAGGACACCTGCACCCCTATGTTTATAGCAGCACTATTTACAATAGCTAAGCTTTGGAAACAGCCCAAATGCCCAAAAATAGATGACTGGATCAAGAAGATGTGGTACATATACACCATGGAATATTACTCAGCATTCAAAAAAGATAAACACATGCAATTTGCAGCAACATGGATGGCGCTGGAAGGGATCATGCTCAGCGAAATAAGCCAAAAAGAAAAAGAAAAATATCGGATGGTCTCACTCATAGCAGGAATCTAGAAAACTTAAGGGACCAGAAAAATGAATAACTATAAGAAAGCGAAAATCAAAATCAACAAAAAACTATGAACCAGAGACACTTTTTGGGGGGTGAGGGGCGGGAGGGGAGGGATTGGGGTCAGAATGGGGGGGTTGCAATTGTATGGGGAATATAAAAATAAAATTTATTATTTAAAAAAAAAGTATAATAAAAGTAGCGTTGAGGACAGCGAGTGGGGGTGGAGACTTTTTTTAATTTAAATTTTATTTTTATATTCCCCATACAATTACAACCCCCTTATTTGGACCCCAAGCCCTCCTTTCCCCGCCCCCCACCCGCCATAGAGTGTCTCTGGTTCATAGTTGTTTGTCGATTTTGATATTTTCTTTCTCATAGTTATTCTTTTTCCTGGTCCCTTATTTAAGTTTTCTAGATTCCTGCTACGAGTGAGACCGGGTGGGGACATTTTAATGAATTTACGGAGCTGTGAGGCTCCTGGGAACCAGCCGCGGCCCCGCCTCTCCTGGGCAGTCCCCGCCCCGCACTGGCCCTGCCCCTCCCGGGCCTGGACCCAGGAGGGGGCGCCCGTAGATTCCCCTGAAGGAAAACTTCGACCCAAGTTTTCGCCAGTCCTCATCCCCACCGCCAGCGGTACCCTAAGCTCCCGGTGGCCCCCAACTTTCAGGCATTCCCTGAGGCTCCACCCCTTCGGAACCCCTCGGACCGCGCCTCTCCTAAAATTGTCCTTTCTCCTAAACTCTCTTTTACTCCTGGACTGGCCCCCAGACCCGCGAGGCCTCTCCCCAACTCCCCGACATGGAACAGTCTTACGGTGGCCGGGTGCTGGCCGCGATGGTCCTGCTGGGCATCCCCGCGGCGGTGCTGGCGGCCCTGGGCGCGCAGTTGCTGTTCCAGCTGCAGGCGGGTCGCGCCGAGCTGCGGGGCTCACGCTCCGACGCGTGGGGCCCGGAGCTGGGCGCCGGCCCCGGGCTCCCGGAGGACGCGGCTGGGGCGCTGCTGCCGTTGGCAGCCGCGCTGGCCGCGCTCGCGCTGGTGCTGGGCCTCACCTGTCTGCTGCTAGCCGCGCTCTGCGGCCACCTGGGCGCTGAGCTGGCGAGGGGGCGCGGCCCCAGCAGGTAGGAAAATCGGCCCCTCCGCTGGCCTGTGGCCGGTGCGGGCCCAAGGGAGTTGCTGCCCCTTTCTGGGACTAAGGTTGGGGAAGTGCCTCCCTTCCTTCTCTCCTTCCGTCCTCTCCCCCTTCCCTCCCTCCTGCCTAGATTTGCTGACATTTAACTGCAGGTGCAACTACTGATGTGACATCCCTTTTACAGATGTCCAAACGAGGCTCAGGGAAGACCTGTGGTGACTCCCTCAGTGTTGTAGCGTTGGTCATTTTCAGAACCCTAAATTCTAGTACCTCCAGCGTGGTGTGGTTTACTCCACACGGCCCCAAGCCCCCTGGCGGCTGGTACTTTAACACTGTGTCTCAGATGAGGGAGGCTGCTACCTCCAGGCTGCCCACTTTAGAAGGGCGAGGGCTGGATTTGAACTTGACTCTGGTAGACCCAGGGCCTGTACCCTGGTTCCAGCTGGGATTCCTTGTTCAGGAGCCTAAGTTCAGACAGACATGGGCACCAAGAACGTGGTTGAGGGAAAGTAAATGTGGATTCAGGATACCAGGGGAGGGTGGTCAGGATCCTGTCTAGGATTCCGTGGGTCTGAGTGTTGGGAAATTTCACTGCCAGGCTAGATCCCACCCAAACTGTGCACACTTCATTGGACAGGTCAGGGGGCACCGAAGTGCGTGTGTTCTGTCAGTAGACAAATGTGTTGGGAGCCTCCAGGGGACCAAGCTCTGAAAAATTGCAATGGGTACTGTGAATCCAGTAGGGACCAGGCGGATCTAGCCCCTCACTCATAGGGTTACAGTCAAGAAACAAGTCAAACAGATCAGTAACACCAACTGAGCTGAGACTTGAAAAAGGGAAGGAAGTACAAGACCTGGAGGACTGTGATCTGGGAGGGGGCATATGGAAAGGTCCTGGGGCCAGAATGAGTTAGAGGGAGATGGAGGTGGTTGATGTGACTGGAATGGAAGGTGAGGGAGATGGAGGCAGAGAAGTCGGAGGGATTGGACTAAGTGGGGCTTCATGCGCTATGGTGAGAATGTTGTGAGAAGGTTGTGAGCCAGGAGGGATGTGATCTGACTTAGATTTGGAATGACACCCCCCAGTCACCAGGGACCAGGAGGGGAGGCAATAAGGAAGAGGCCATTTTCATTGCACTGGTGGGAGGTAAGTGATGATGAAGCTCTTAGCTTCCATTTCCAGTTCTCACAGGGCTAGAGGAGGGAGGGTATAGTAAAATGTAGTAGTCAAGTGATGAGCATGGCACCAGACTCAAAACTAAGTCCTCCACAATGTCAGCTCTTGGGATTGGTGTATCTACCATCACTGCTAGCAAATTAACTTCAATTTTGTCTCCCGAATAAGCTTACAGTCTGTAAAATAATGGAAGTTGGGTAGCTAATAAGTGCCCGTACATAGCAGCTGTTTCATGAGAGTTGTATGTTAATGGATTTTGGGGACTGGATGTTAAATGGATGGGTGATAAATGACGGATGGCTGGATGGCTGGATGAATGGTTGGCTGCATGGGTGGATAGATGGATGCTGGATTAATGGGTGGATGTCAAATGTGTAGGTAGGTAGGTAGATGGATAGCAGATCACAAAAATCTTCAGTTCCCCAAAGCTGGGCCTTCCCACACCTCTGAGCCTTTTTTTTTTTTTTTTCCTGGCCCCTTCCCTCCAGGTCTGACTGGTTTCTTTATGACCGTCGTCTCCTCAGACACACGGCCTTTGGCCTCTTCTGCTGTGGGGTCTCTGTCTACTTAGCAGGTGCGTGCAGGGGTATAGATTCTAATACTTCTTTGCTCTGAGGACTTGGGCAAACTCCCTCTGTCAGCCCTCTAGCAGTTTGTTTTAGTGGGAAAAAAAATTCAAGGGATTAATTATCACGGTTTTTTCTTAGTTCCATAATAGAGAAATAGAAGTTTAAAAGATATATTTATGAGATGTGAGTGTTGGTTTCATGGTGGGATTTGTATATGAAGTGCATAACTTCCATTGTTTGACTTAATAAAATGCTCCACTTGTGGGGTTTTTCATTTGTTTGTTTTTTACATTTGAAAATGACAGGTTTAGAGCCTGTCATTACCCCCTGGTGGTGCAAAGGGTTAAGTCTCAGCACTGTGAGGCTATCAGCAGCCACTGCAGCACTACTTTGATCCCCAGCCAGGGAACTACCCACATGGTGCAGCAGACCTTTCCTGTCTCGTCTGCTGCTCCCCTCAGCAGTGTATTTCAGTAGATCTGCCTGCTCTGCTCCCCACTCTGTCTCTGGTGAATCCTCTCACCCCCGTCCCCCCATACCACTGACCTATACCACAGCTCTTGTATGCATGAATAAATAAAATAAATCTTTAAAAAATGACAGGTTTATTAGGAAAAGGAGAAAGAAAAAGAGAAGAACATACAGAGACACAGGCAGGCAGGAGAGCACCTGTGAGGTTTTGTTTTTTTTTTAAAGAGGATAATGGGTGAGGTGTGTATCTGAAAAGGATTTTTGGGGATTGTTGGCTTTAGGTGTGGTTAGATCCAGGTGCTCAAATTAGCTTGTCAGAAGTCCCTCCAACTTCCCCCTCACTTGCTGTCCACTGAGAAAGATGCCTTCATCTGAGTGCTTTAGACACAATGCATTCAACCTCGATCTATTGCATAGGCCCATAAAATGTTGAAGACTTGGAGAAAACACAATCCTCATTCTAAAATATAAGAAAACGTACAAGTGGAGAACAAGATTGCTATACCTGCTTCATTAAATATTAAATTGAGAATTCAGGGCCTCCCTGCTGGCACAAGGAATTAAGTCTCAGCACTATGAAGCTATCAGCAGCCACTGCAGCATGAGTTCGATTCCCAGCCAGGGAGCTACCCACATGACGTAGCAGACCTTGCCTGTCTCGCCCGATGCTCCCCTCAGCAGTGTATTTCAGTACATCTGCCTGTTCTGTTCCCCATTCTGTTTCTGGTGAATCCTCTCTCTCTCTCTCTCTCTCTCTCTCTCTCTCACACACACACACACACACACCTTCCCACACCTCTGGCCTACACCCCAGTTCTTGTATGCATAAATAAATCAATCTTTAAAAATAATAAAGGGCCTCCCTAGTGATGCAGATGTTAAAGATAGCACTATCAAGCTATCATCAGCCCCTGCAGCATGAGTTCAATCCCCTGACAGCCAGGGAGCAACCCACATGGTGCAGCAGACCTCTCCTGCCTCACCCGCTGTGCCCCCCAGCAGTGTATTTCAGTGGATCTACCTGTTCTGCTCCCCAGTCTCTCTGGTGGATCCTCTCACCCCCCTACCCCATACCTCTGGCTTACACTACAGTTCTTGTATGCATAAATAAATAAATCTCTTTAAAATATAATAAAAAATTAATTGAGAATTCATTCACTTCTTATTTAGATTGGTTTTGAGGTTAGATGACCTCACTCAGTAAGAATTCCTCTGCCAGCCAGCCAGCCATTCGCTGCTAACCAGAGGCAAAAGAATAGATATAATCCTTTCAACAATGTTTAGAGCAAAAAATGTCCTGGGTCTCCCTTAATATGTAAGACTTAATGTATTATGGCATCTTCAAAAGCAAGAGTGCAGAGCTGAGAAAGCATAAAACAACCCACAAAGTACCAAGAGTTTCCCCATCAACTCAGGGCTCCTCCCCTACCAATGCCCAAGCCACTGCAGTAAGCAAACCAACCCCCCATCCCCAGAGCTCAAGCTCTGGGTTAACTGTAAAAATCCCAGGGTTAACTGTAAATGGACTGAACTTGTGTCATGTGATGTCCCTGCACCAAATCACTACACCCAGGGGTCTACACCCTGCAGCAAATCACTACACCCAGCAGCGCTCTAACTGGCCAAGTCCAGGACCACGCGGGTCATTGATGGGGGTGGGGGGTGTCATTGATTTAGGACCTTCTTCCAGAGTAGGGAGAGGGCCAGAACCTCCCTTCCCAAGCTGGGCTAATTTTGCCCCCACAGGGCACATCTCCAATATCTAGAGATATGTTTGGTCACATGGGGAGGGGCCATTGCTGCCGGTATCTGGTAGGTAAAGCTCCTACAACACCCAGCATAGACCCCACCATGGACAATGGCAATGAAGAGCCAGTGCAGGTCCTTGAGGTCAGATCACCGACTGATTTGTTCACAGCAACAAACTGAGGTCAAGGAGGGCCTGTGATATCCTGAAAGTCAACCACAGGGACTCAGGAGGCCTGAGGTCTGAGTTGTTTTAACTTGTGGTAAAATACACGTAAAACCAAATTTACCATTTATAGTAAAATGGACATGGTGATGTGTGTGGGGTGTGAACAGATTAGAGGAGTTAATCTTTGTATCTATCGTGTTGTATGGTTTTCTGTGATTGTCCCCAGTTTGGGGGAGCTCTCTAGGGCTTAGGAAGCAAATGTTTGTTGACTGAATAAATGACAGCCATTTCCTTCCCCAGCCTTGTCCATCTATGCCTTGCTGCTCTTTGAGATTGAGACAGGAGCAGCAGCTGCCGCTATCCTTGGCTCAGGTGCCCTGGTTCTGGTGGCCGCACTGACCCACACTCTGCTCCGGGCCACCAGGGCTACTCGCCGTGGCATCCATGAGCTGACTCTGCCACACTGTGAAGATGACCCTGTCAGCCCCGCTGAAGTCTCCAAGGCCACCCCCACGGCTCAGTCCCAACAGGGTATCCATCGCCAGATCCCCTACTCCTCCTCTTCAGAACCCAGGGATTCTCCCAGACCTTCGTTTGCTACAGTGGCACCTGCAGTCCTGGGGGGAGGTCTGGAAAGCAGCCTGCCTACACCCCACATGCACCGGACACCGCCCGCCAGTGGGGGGCACTGGGAAGGGGTCACCCACGAGATGCGAAGTGCGCTGGGCCACAGGTCAGGGAGCTCAGGGAAGGACTCCACATTGGTGTGAGTGCAGAGATCAGTAAGCTGGAGTCAGAAAGCAGGAAAGAGGATCTTAGAGAAGTCCGGACTCAGCCACAGCAGCAATATAAGTTGATTTCTCAGTTCACAGAATCCCTGACTTTTGTCTTTAATGTTGTCTATGGCACAAGGTGGCTGCCAGGCTCCCCGCCTTTACCTCCTCACTTAGAAGGAAAGGCAGAGGCCAAAGCTGGCTCAGTATCTTTTTTTCCCCCAAAGATTTATTTACTTATGCATATAAGAACTGGGGCGTAAGCCAGGAGTGTGTGTGTGTGTGTGTGTGTGTGTGTGTGTGTGTGGGAGTGAGAGGATTCACCAGAGAGAGTGGGGAGCAGAACAGGCAGATGTACTGAAAGACACTGCTGAGGGGAGCAGCAGGCGAGACAGGAGAGGTCTGCTGCGCCATGTGAGCATCCCTCTGGCGGGCTGAGGAGCGAACTCATGCTGCAGTGGCTGGCAATAGCTTGATAGCGCTGTCTTTAACCCCTGTGCCACCAGGGAGGCCCTGGCTCAGCATCTTTTGGAAATCTTCCTGGGATGCTTTGTCGCCATTCTGTTTATGCTTCACTGGCTAGAACAGAGTCACATGGCCACACCTCAGTGCAGAGGCAGGAAGTGGGGCTATTCGGAATGAAGTTCTGTTTCAACCAGAAGAGGAAGAGAGGGCTTAGCAGTAGTCCTCTAAATGTCTCTGTCCGCTTCACAGATGAGGAAACCAGTGCCCCGAGAGGGCCAGTGACTCACCAAGGGGCCCATGGTCAGTGCTGAGCATCAGAGTCGATTTGCATCTGGGTCCTGGAACCTCCATGCCACTGACAGTCTCTGCGACTCCTTCTGGGCTGCAAGCTCAGAGTGTTCCAGGGCCTGTGGTCCACCTGGAGGACTGAACCCAGATTCCTGGCTGTAGACCCATGGCTTGAGGGCTTTGCCAGTCTGTGCCTGTTTCCTCATCTATAAAATGGGGTTGGACCCTGTTCCTCCTCCTCCAGCTCCCAGGAATCTCGTGCAAGGCATGCTGGGGGTCTGTGTGCACAGTAGATTCTCAGCCAGGGTGCTTGGTATGAAAAGGTGGGCTGATGGCAAGTTCCGGTACTCATGGAACTGATGAGGCCTGGAAAGAATAACTGGGAGCCCCAGGGAGCCCTAGGGACCCTGGTCCCATTCCCATCCAGTATGACTCGCAAATAAACTCAAGCATTTGCTAATCTCTGTGTCACTTCAAATGTCCTCTGTGGCCAAGCCCAGTCCCAGGGTGTGGGGTTAGGAGGGCAGGATGGGGAGGCAGGGCAGGGTCTGCGTCTTGTGGGTACCTGTGTGAGACCCTAGTTCCACAAATGGACATACATATAAGTTTCACAGGTGGTGGAGATGGCCTAGTCCCCACTCCAGAAGACAAATGTCCCCAGAAGTCTCCCAGCCTCTCCCTTTCTGGGCCACAAAGGGACTCCAGGGGCTAGGTTACAGAGGAGGCTCAGCACACAGTGGTTTGAAGCACCCCAGGACTCCTACCAATGGGCAGAAAAGGGACAGCTCCCAGCAGCGGGCTGGTCCCTAACTAAGCCTGTTCCTGGATAGGGACCGTCCTGATCAAATACATACAGACCCAGTTGCCCCGCATCCTCAGCCATCTCTATCCTGGGTTCCATGAAGCTGCACAGACCCCCTCCTATCCTGTGGAGTGGGGTGAAGAGGTAAATCACATGATCACCCCATCTGGTGTTTGACACATAGGCTTTGGGGAGCATGATACATGCCAACAAAATGTATAAAATAAGAATAAATGGATTACCTTTATGGTGATCCTGTTATCCATTCCAGGTCCCTTTTACCGAATTCCTGCCACATGCCAAGCACTTTCCTGGCCTTAGTTAATTCTCAAGACAGTTCCGCTCATAAATGGGGAAACTGAGTCCTGAGAAGCTAGCCCCCCACCCCACCCCACCATGAGAGAGCTCATTGCAGTGGTATGGCTGGAATCTGGGACCATCACATTGGGCTCCAGGACAGAACAGTTACCTGGAAAAACTGAGGATTCTAGTTTGAATGGGGCAGACCTGGGCACCCTGAGGGTGGGGGAGAGGGCAGAGCAACTGACTGCCAGCTTGGAGTTTCTCATCCCTGGGCTTGCCAGGGAAACTAAAGGCTGGACCATGAGGCCTCATCCCCAGGGCCAGGACTGGGGTGGGGAAACAAAATGTAAGGAGGTCCAAAGAATCTTTTTTTTAAAAAATATATATATATATATTAAAGATTTATTTATTTATACGAGCATTGGGTACATTCAGAAGTGCAGGAAAATGAGAGAATTCACCAGAGCCAGAGCGAGGAACAGAACAGGCAGACTGACAAAGTACACTGCTGAGGGGAGCAGTGGGCGGCAGGAGAGGTCTGCGCACCATGTGGGACCCTAGCCGGTGGCCGGGGATTGAACCGGCACTGCAGAGGCTGCGGGCAGCTTCACAGCCCAGCGCTCAACTGCTGTGCCACCAGGGGAGACTCCAAGAATCTTTTTTTTTTTAAGATTTATTTATTTATGCATACAAGAACTGGAGTTCAGGCCAGAGGTGTGCGCGGGGGGGGGGGGGGGGGCGCGGGGCGCGGTTAGAGGATTCACCAGAGACAGAGTCGGGAGCAGAACAGGCAGACTGACTGAAATTCACTGCTGAGGGGAGCAGAGGGCAAAACAGGAGAGGTCTGCTGCGCCATGTGGGTATCTCCCTGGCCGGGGATTGAACTCGTGCTGTAGTGGCTGCTTAGAGCTTCATAGATTGTGTCTTAACCCCTTATGGCACCAGGGGGGCCCTAAAGAATCTTTAAAAAAGGTGTTCACAGGGCCTCCCCTGGTGGCGCAGTGGTTGAGCTGGGGGGAAGTGATTGCTCAAAGGGACAAAGTCTCCTTTTGGGGTGATGGGATATTCTAAAATGAGATAGAAGGGGGGTTGTGCAACGTCAACACATCAGCTACCACTTTAAATGTTCACTTTAAAATGGCAAATTCTGTTATGTGAAAAAAAAGAAAGAAAACATTTAAGGAGGCACTTACTCTCAGGGTGCCGGAGATTCAGGCAGCCCCCTGTCCCCACCAAGTGTGATGTAAGGACATTCTTAGATATGCCCTGAGAGCGTGATAACTACCTTTACTCCAGTCTGATCCCAGTTCATCCTCCTGGGACCCAGAACAGGAGCCCTAGAAATTCTCCAAGGTTCTAACTTGAAGAACCTGAGGCTAGAGGTGGGGAGCACTGCCCACAGCCTGACCGAAACCTGCCCCCAGCAGCAGCACCGCCTGGAAGGCGCGCCAAGAGTCTCCATATCTCGCCAGAATCAGGGGTCAAGGGACCAGCTGGGCCCCAAGACCAGCCAGAGCCAAGAGCTCAGTTTTCTTCCTGTCCCAGCACCAGAGGAGGACTTGGCATTCTGGAAACAACCTGGGCAGACCTGTTTTGGAAAGAATCTTGAGACCTGCACCTCAGTTTCCTTCTTTCTCAAATGGGGTAACCTCTGCTACCCCGCAAAACACAGCTAGGAGGAACAGATCAGAAAGCAAACAGTGTCTCTATTAACTCCTCCAGCCTCTTGAATGCAAACAGCTGTCATACCCTGGTGTGTTCTGGGACGTAGACAACATCTATCAAAGATGTTGCCTTGGGGGCCTCCCTGGTGGCGCAAGAGGTTAAGTCTCAGCACTATCAAGCTATCAGCAGCCATCCCCAGCCAGGGAGGTGACCTACATGGCGCAGCAGACCTCTCCTGTTTCTCCCGCTGCTCCCCTCAGCAGTGTATTTCAGTCAATCTGCCTGTTCTGCTCCCCACTCTGTCTCTGGTGGATCCTCTCACCCTCCACACCTCTGGCCTTTACCCCACTTCTTGTATGCATAAATAAATAAAACAAATATTTTTTAAAAAAGATGTTGCCTTGGTTTAAGATCATGGGAACCAGACCAGAAATAATTACAAGGATATAGTTTATGTGGAGGTGACCCCAGGAAAATTCCGAGTCCTGCAGAGGGTGCCAATAAGCAGGCAATTCTATGGGTAACCAAAGAACTGAGGATGAGGTGGGGACCTCAGGGAGACTGAAGAGGGTACACAGGGCAGAGTGTTCCCACCCAGGGGTAAGAGGGCTATGGTGTTTAGCCACTGGTTCTCATCAGGCATTAACTCAGAGCTGCTCCTGGAGGGATTAACTCCTCTCCAGTCTGGCCTTCACTGTGTACCAGCTGGTCATGCTCCTGTGACCACAGGCAGGATCACAGGTATTTGCTTTGAGTGACTTCATGAATAGATGAATGTGGGGGGGCTGGTGGTAGAGGCAGAAGGTACAGACAGCAGCTTCTTCAGTTACATTGCATTTTTGCAGTAACAGGCACAAGTGGGATGTTGAGGGCACTTCACCACACTACTTGTAGTTAAAAGCTATTGATTTTTGGACGCTGGCCATATGTCATAGGCCTAACCTACCCAAGCATCATCATTGTTGTCCCTTCATTTAACAACTGGTCTCTATCCTTTACTTCTGCACATAAAATATAAAAGTGGCAGAATAGACTTAGGATGCTCTGTATTTGTGACATTTAGATCTGAATGCCAAATGATACCTTGGAGATTATCTAGTACGAGGGATCTGTTTTCCCCCAGCAAACCCTTTATTGACACCTTTAAAATATATTTTGGGTGAAACAAGAATTTTGAAAAGCCCTCCTCAATCTTCAGGATGATTCCCAGGACAGTAAAAATTGAACCTTAGCTTCAGAAGACTATCTGAGATGCAAAAGGAGGGCAGTAGGATACATGGAGCAAGAATCATAGAAATTCACCTGAAAACAGCACATTTTCTCTCCCTGACTTCTAGATCTTTTTGTCTGTATCTGTTAACTATTGCAGCATAACAAACTGCCCCAAAAGTTAACAGTTCAAAGCAATGTACATTTATTATCTGACAGTTTCTGTGGGTTGGGGACCTTCCTTTCAGTCTTCCATCAACTGGATTAGGGTCCAAGCTCACTTTCTAGTTGTTGGCAGGATTCAGTTCCTGGGGGCCTGATTGCTCACCGACTGTTGGCCTTGGCCAGTTCTGTGACTTGTGAGTGTCTATAAGGAAGTGTGCTACACTGAAGCCAACAAGGCTCAACAACGTAATTCACTCTTCTAACCTTAAAGGTGAGCACCCATCGCCTGCTCTGTGTCCTATTGGTTAGAGGTGTCCCTAGGTGGAGCCCACACTCAAGGCAAGGGGCTTCTAAGGGCTTGAAAGCCAAAACTCTACCATCTTTGGGGACCATCTCAGTAGCTACCTTATGTCTCATAAATTCTCCATGTTCTCTGTCCAAAGACAAATAAAAAGCAGGCAGCTAAGCGTAGGGTAAATGGTTTTCAGGCTTTTCTGCCTTCCCACCACTAGGATTGCCCTGCAGAAGCGGCACCTACAGTTGTTACATTGTTGTAAGCTGTGTTGTTTACTTCTGTGGGCCATGGCTCAGTATTGAGATAGTGGCCGAGAGAAGCAGAGGCAGGAGAGAAGGGGAGAGACAAGTCCAGAGTGGGGCCTCCCCCTTCCCCCACCCCGGCCCAGCCCCTGCACCCCTGCCTGCCATGTACCTGGTTGCTGCACTACATGTAAAAGCTCAATAAAAGCCTGAGAAAGCCACCGAGGGCTCCGCGACTTTCCTTTACCCCTCTGGTCTGCTTGAATCATAGATATCCTGCTCTGTGCCCATCCTGCCCCTACACTAAGCATGATGAGAAAAGTGTTTCCCATACCACACAAATCAGCTGTTTCCAATTCAATTCAGATTTTAAACTAGCAAAAGTACAGTGTCAACCCAGACAAACACAAGTTTAAAATAAAACAAATTGTGCTTATTTGGAGTCAGCTCAAATTGTGTTCCACTGGGATCTTTGTTTAAGGGAGTCTTAAATGAAATACACAGGAGAAAGAATGATAGAACTGGAAAAACTAGGATTGCTTATAGACTGCATTTCTTACATTTCATTGATTTTGGTTAAAATGACTTAGCTGGAGAGAAGAAAAAGAAAAAATTATCTTTGCACAGCCTTTGGGGAAGGCTGGGAAACAGTATTTTAAGTTAAAAGTCCAGGGCCTCCCCAGTGGCGCAGCGGTTGAGCACTGGGTTGCGAAGCTGCCCGCAGCCTCTGCAGCGCCGGTTCGATCCCCGGCTGCTCCCCGGCCACCGGAGGAGGGTCCCACATGGCGCACAGACCTCTCCTGCTGCCCGCTGCTCCCCTCAGCAGTGTACTTCGGTCTTTGTGCCTGCTCTGCTCCCTGCTCTGGCTCTGGGGAATTCTCTCACCCTCCCGCACTTCTGACTGTACCCAGTGCTTGTATAAATAAATAAAAACATAAAAATAAATCTTTAAAAAAAAATAAAAGTCCAGGGGCCTCCCTGGTGCCGCAGTGGTTGAGCACTGGGCTGCAAAGCTGCCCGGAGCCTCTGCAGCGCCAGTTAGTTCCCCGGCCGCCGGCCAGGGTCCCACATGGTGCAGACCTCTCCTGACAGGCCCACTGTGCTCCCCCTCAGCAGTATTTCGTCGGTCTGCCTGTTCTGTTCCCCGCTCTGGCTCTAGTGAATTCTCTCACCCTCCAGTGCTTCTGACTGTACCCAGTGCTTGTATATATATAAAAAAAAAAGTCCAGTAACATCGAATTGCAGGAATAAGATGGAGTGTATCTCAGACAACTGTTTTCACAATAGTTAAGAAATTCAAACTCTGGGGTTAAGCACAGCCCTGTGAAGCTATCTCCAGCCACTACAGCACGAGTTCAATCCTCAGCCGGTCAGGGAGCCACCCACATGGCACAGCAGATGTCTCCTGTCTCACCTGCTGCTCCCCTCAGCAGTGTATTTCAGTCATTCTGCCTGTTCTGCTCCCTACTCTTTCTAGTGAATCCTCTCACTCCCCCCCCACCTCTGGCCTGTACCCCAGTTCTTATATGCATAAATAATCTTTAAAAAAAAAATTCAAACTCTGGTGAGACAAATACCCAAATTTAGCAAAATTGATGATATTGAGTGTAGGTGAAGATATGAAGCTGCTGGAACTCTTGTTTGCTGTGCATAGGAGGGTAAATTGGTATAGCTGCTATATAAACCTGATTGATATCTCTATTTAAATTAGACATAGACCTCTCCTACCACCTCAAATTTCTACTGGGAGTTTTTTTTTATGCATACAAGAACTGGGGTGTAAGCCAGAGGTGCGGGGCAGTGAGAGGATTCACCACATAGAGTGGGGAGCAGAACAGGCGGATCTACTGAAATACACTAATGAGGGGAGTAGCGGGCGAGACAGGAGAGGTCTGCTGTGCCATATGGGTTGCTCCCTGGCCGGCCGGGGATCGAACCTGTGCTGCAGTGACTGGTGATAGCTTGACAGCGCTGTCTTTAACCCCTGTGCCACCAGGAAGGCTCCTCTACTGGGAGTCTTAGCTAACAGGAACAATGTATATTCATCAAATGACATAAAAGAATGCTCAGGACAGGCCTACCCTGGTGGCGCAGGCAGTTGAACACAGCGCTGTGAAGCTGTCCGCAGTCCCTGCAGCACCGGTTCAATCCCGGCGGGCGGGGCGAAGGTCCCACATGGCATGGCAGACCTCTCCTGTCGTGCCCGCTGCTCCCCTAGGCAGTGTATTTCGTCAGTCTGACTGTTCTGTTCCCCACTCTGTCTCTGGTGAATCCTCTCACCCTCCTGGGCATCTGGCCTGTACCCTGGTTCTTGTATAAATAAATAAATAAATCTTAAAAAAAAAAAAAAAAAAAAAAGCTCAGGCCAGTTTCTCTCAGTGGCCAAGACCTGGGAACAAACAAGGGCTGAATGAATGTACAGACTGTGGCACATCCATCCAATGGAATACAATGCAGCAACGTAAAAGAGGAAATTATACCTATTGCTTAATAATGTTCCAGTCAATGATGGATTGTATAGACAAAGGTGGTCCCAGTAGGCTGTACATCTAGGCTAAGTGTGTAGTGGGCTGTACCATCTAGGTTTGTGTAATTACATTTAATGATGTTCTCATGCTGCACCTCCCCCTGCAGTGACCTTTAGGGCTAATGGCTTTCGCCACGGTCCCTAGGTCCGGCTGGGCAAGGAACCAGCGCGCAGGGGGAGAACAGCAAAACCCCCTGAAGACATAGATAAGACGGAAGCCTGTTGAAAGATAACGACCACCAGGAGCCACTACAGGAATGCTGTCCGCACGGAAACTTATCTCGCCTTCTCAAGACCCACAAACTTTATTCTACTACAACTGTCTCTCTAAAATCTTTTCTCTTTCTCTGTCTAAAAAGGTCATTGGTTGCTGATTTTAAAAAAACAAACGAGGGCCTCCCCGGTGGCGCAGCGGTTGAGCGCTGGGTTGCGAAGCTGCCCGCGGCCTCTGCGGCGCCGGTTCGATCCCCGGCTGCTCCCCGGCCACCAGAGGAGGGTCCCACATGGCGTGCAGACCTCTCCTGCCGCCCGCTGCTCCCCTCAGCAGTGTACTTCGGTCCTTCTGCCTGCTCTGCTCCCCGCTCTGGCTCTGGTGAGTTCTCTCACCCTCCCGCGCTTCTGACTGTACCCAGTGCATGTATAAACAAAACAAACAAACAAACCAGCAAACAAATAAATAAAGCATGCCTCTATTAAAAAAAAAAAAATAAAAAAAAATAAAAATAAAAAAAAAAAACAAACGAAATCTAATAACTAGGCTAATTCAAATGAAACGTTACTAAACTCTGTGTATTAATAGAACTGTTAGCTTAATAATTTCTCTGTCGTATACTTAGCCTTGTTAGTATTAATCTTTTTTTTTTTTTAATAGGTATTTCATTTGTTTTGATATTTATTTATTTTTATATTTTATTTATTTATTTATTCATTCATTTATACAAGCACTGGGTACAGTCAGAAGCGCGGGAGGGTGAGAGAATTCACCAGAGCCAGAGCAGGGGGCAGAGCAGGCAGAAGGACCGAAGTACACTGTTGAGGGGAGCAGCGGGCGGCAGGAGAGGTCTGCGCACCATGTGGGACCCTCCTCCGGAGGCCGGGGAGCAGCCGGGGATCGAACCGGCGCTGCAGAGGCTGCAGGCGGCTTCGCAACCCAGTGCTCAACCGCTGCGCCACCGGGGAGGCCCTTGTTAGTATTAATCTTAATGATAAAAATATTACATTGTGAAAAGTAAAATTCACCCGTGTTAATTAATAGTAATTTAGTGGTAGTGAGTAGTTAAAACAAAAAGTAATCATATAAAACAAAAAGAAAAATTAATAGCCTAACTACTTAGGAATGTGCCTGGGTCCAGATGTAAATCACTGCCCTGTCAATGATAAGCTAAACCTATAAGAAAGCTGATTTCTTCACTGATGTTCGCCATTCCTATGCCTTTAGAAAACATATATATATACTGGTCACCAACTCAAATTAAATTACACTCAGATTTACACTCTCTCTTGAAGTGTGTCTGTTTGTCATTTCTTTAACCGAATCCCTGACCACCCTGCGCAATCTCTCAACCCTGAGAGGGCCTCATCGTTCACTGCTGTGCTGGTCTGCGGCATTCTCACAATAATGGAATCATCTAACAATGTTTCTTAGACCATACACATTGTTGAATGACACCTGACTATACTAATACAGGCCACACTCAAAATAAAAGGCACAGTGCCTCCCCAGTGGCGCAGCAGTTGAATGCTGGGCTGCAAAGCTGCCTGCAGCCTCTGCAGCGCCAGTTCAATCCCCAGCCTCCAGCGAGGGTCCCACATGGCATGCAGACCTCTCTTGCCGTGCCCGCTGCTCCCCTCAGCAGTGTATTTCCTCAGTCTGTCTGTTCTGCTCCCTGCTCTGGCTCTGGTGAATTCTCTTACCCTCCCGTGCTTCTGAATGTACCCAGCGCTTGTATAAATAAATAAATCTTTTAAAATAAAAAATAAATAAAAGAAACAGACATTATATTGAACAGAATTAGCCAGACTCAGAAGTGTTTCACTGGGGTAATGCATTTATACCAAGAACCGGCAGAATGAATGATGGGGTAAAAACCAGTGTCTTGGCAGGAGGAGGGAGACTTGATTAAGAAGGGGTCCAAAGGGATGTTCAAGATTGATACAGGTAGGCTCCCTGATCTGGGGGTGGAGATAGCAGTAGGGACCACAGCTGGTTTCAGCAGAATAGAGGAAGTGTGGTGCTAGCCACTAGCAGTGGCATTCCCCATACAAAAATACTTTTGAAAGTATTTTTGTAAGTCAGTAGAACAGCCTAGAGACTCATCCTCCACATGCACCCTCCCTCAAAATTACCCTATAAAGTGAGCACAATGAGATTCCAGTTGTAAACCTAGGGAAACCGAGGTAGAGAGAGACTAAGGCACTGCTCAAGGTCACCAGCTGCTGAGCAATGGAACCAGAAATGCCCCCTCTCAGTACCCAGGCCCTTGCAATGCCATCTTCTCTGTGGCCAGGAGTGAGCACAAGGCAGGATGAGGTTCCAGGTTACAAAGGCTCCCTTCTTTGTAACCCAAGCTGATACAAACTGATAAAGCTTAGCCCCAAACAGTTAGGATTGATGTGGGCCTGGCCCCTTAGGGAGGCCATCCCCATGCCCAGCTTGGCTCAGGGGGGTTAGATTTTGCAGGGTCAGTAGTCTAGCAATGATGGCTGGTCCAATCAAACCTGATGACAATATGGGTCACATGGGGGTCTGTGGTCACATGCAGATATCCTGGAAAGTGATCCAGAATTGGTTTCAAGGTGGCTGACAAGGCCACCAGAGAACAAACACTCTTTGCTTCCTAGCTGGATTGGATTTCCCGGCCGGCGCCAGAGCAGACTGGGCAGAGCCTGGCAGGTGCTGCTGTGGCCAGAGTGGGGGATTCATCCTAGCACCAGAGGCCTAGTTTTTCCAAGGCAGATGATGTGGGGGCAGGAGGAGGCAGGTTGCATGGTCTTCCCCCAACTACTCACCACACACCCACCCTCTAGGACAACAGTCTTCCACCCTCAGGTTTCCAGGGCAGAACCATGCCTGTGTGCCTCAGACCTCCAGTGCAAGGCGATCCCTCCCTTTGGGGCCCCCAGGGCAGTATTGTTGGGCATCAGTGCCTAGTTGGCTGGCACACCCCTTCAAATGCCCCTTGGGACCTGTTCTGGACAATGAGCTGTAAGCAGAGCTGACGAGCCACTTCTGGGCCAGGGCGAGTCCCGTCCCCACCATCACAGGGAGACGGCCCCACTAGTATGGTGGAGTTAGCACCCACTACCGACCAACATTACAGGCAGGAACAAGCTATAGTCTGAGCCCCAGCAGTGCGGGGAAGCCCTCCATGCGGCAGACCTGCCCCAGCCTGACGTCCTGGGGACTGGGGTAGAGACAAGCACCCGCATGGAAGGAAGAGCGGGAGCCTTGGAGGTTAGTTTGGCAAACCAATTGACCCTTGTTATTCACAGATGGTGGGTTTACAAATTCTCCGACAGGCTAAAATTTATTTGTAACCCCTAAGCAAACACTTGTGGTACTCTTGAAGGGCTGGCAGAGGAGGAGGAAAACTGAGCCCCCAATGTGCACGCTGTCAGCATGGCTCTGCTTTCCTGTTCCAGCTCTCTGACAAACAAACTTCATTGAGTGTCACATTTTTCATATTTCGGTGCTTTTCCTTGGTAATTTTGCTGTTTAAAAAGGTCCCCAAGCAGGCCTCTCTGGTGGTCCAAGGGTTAAGACAAAGCCCTATGAAGCTATCCACAGCCACTGCAGCATGAGTTCAATCCCAATCCCTGGTCAGGGAGCTACCCACATGGTGCAGCAGACCTCTCCTGGCTCACCCGCTGTTCCCCTCAGCAGTATATTTCAGTGAGTCTGCCTGTTCTGCTCCCCACTTTGTCTCTAGTGAATCCTCTCACACAGAACTGGCCTGTACCCCAGTTCTTGTATGCATAAATAATTAAAATAAATACATAAAAAAATAAAATAAAAAGATCCCCAAGGGTCTCTCTGGTGACACAAGCGTTAAAGTCTCAGTGCTATCAAGCTATGGCCAGCCACTGTGGGCTGAGTTTGACCCCAAGTCAGGGAACTGACCCACATGGAGCAGCAGACCTCTCCTATCTTGCCCACTGCTCCCGTCAGCAGCATGTTTCAGTAGATCCACCTGTTCTGCTCCCCACTCTGTTTCTGGTGAATCCTCTCACACATACACACCCCCATACCTCTGGCCTATACCCCAGTTCTTGTATACATAAGTAAATAAAAATAAATCATTTTTTAAAAGACTTATTTATTTATGCATATAAGAACTGGGGTATAAGCCAGAGGTACAGGGTGGTGAGAGTATTCACCAGAGAGAGTGGGGAGCAGAACAGGCAGATCCACTGAAATACACTGCTGAGGGGAGCAGCAAGTGAGACAGGTCTGCTGCGCCATGTGGGTTGCTCCCTGGCCCACAGGGGATCGAACTCCTGCTGCAGTGACTGGCGATAGCTTGATAGTGCTGCCTTTAACCCCTGCTCCACCAGGGAGGCCTTAAAAATAAACTTAAAAAAAAAAAAAAAATTCCCCAAACATGGTGCAGAAGCGCCCTCTGGTGTCCCCAAGCAAGAGAGGCTGGAATGTGCCACTGGGAGAATACCTGTTATGTAAACTTTGTTCAGCATGAATTGAAAGCAGCACTGGCAGTGAGTCCAAAATGAACAAATCAATATATATATATATTTAACCAGGTGTCTTTAAATAGAAACACACACGGAAGAAGCATATGTACTTATCATTTGATAAGAATATGGTCGGGCCCTCCCTGGTGGTACAAGGGGTTAATAAGCACAGCACTATGAAATTGTCCACAGCCTTTGCAGCACGAGTTTGATCCCCAGCCAGCCAGGGAGCCACCCACACGGCGCAGTAGACCTCTCCTGTCTCACCTGCTGGCTTCCCTCAGCAGTGTATTTCAGTCAGTCCGCCTGTTCTGTTCCCCACTCTGTCTCTGGTGAATCCTCTCACCCCCTGCACCTCTGGCCTGTACCCCAATTCTTGTATGCATAAATAAATAAATCTTAAAAAATAAATGTGATCAGGTTTGCATGAACCTATACTGACTCGTTCCCAAGAATCCAGTATTTACTAATTCAAGGAGACTTTAACCGAGAGGGATGAGCGTTCCTCCAAGTAATCATGGCACATGGAGGAAAGGGGAAGTGAGACCAGCTTGACAACTAAACTGGATTCAAACCCCAGCTGTGACTTTCGCGGCCACCTGCTTCTGTTTTTCCTGTTTCCCCATATGAAAAAAACAACTAAACTAGGGTTTCCCACTGAGCTGTGGGATGATGTGTATCCCCAGTACACATGCTGTGTATTGGGGACAAGGACCCCAAAAAAGGAAGACTAATAAACTATTATGTGCAACGATAGAGGGTTGGGCTGAGTCTGCTCTGTGATCCCTGTTTGCTGAGCCTGTTCCCCCTCTGTAGAAAGGGAGTTGCAGCAGCCTGCCTCCACTGCTGCTTGGTGCTCAGTGCTCAGGGTTCAAGATGAAGGCACCAGTGGCCAGGATCAGGACACCAGACAGCAGGACAAGGTAGTGTTTATTACCAGGAGGACGCCTGCGACCTCCAGGCACTGGAGTTTTGACAAGAATAATTTGAAGGCACTGGTTCCTGGCCAGCGACCACCCGAGCCATGCAGGGCCTGAGGTTCCTATTGCAGAGCAGCTTGGCCACAACCCCTCCTCCAGGGTGATAGTGATGGGTGGCCTAAGGTCCAAAGTGCCCAGTGCTGTCAAAGCTCTCAAAATGGGATGGAGTAGGGTAGCTGCCAGGCCTGCAGGTGTGGGGCAGGCACTCTTCCCTGGGACACAAGAGTGAGGGGCTACGAGACGCTGGGGGGCAGGCGCGCAGCCGCAGTCTTCTCCACCACGAAGCCATAATTGTACTGGGAGGGAGAGAGCAGAGTCAAAGAAGGATTGTGGGAAGCGAGAAATGGTGGGGATTGGAGGGTACTTCAGGACAAGCAATTTCCAGTTAGAGATTGGGGTATGGCTGGGAGAGTCAGCTCTGTACCTACCTCTTCCTCTATGTCCGCCAGTGACTTGATGGTCAGATCCGCAAAGGCAGAGAAGGTCTGATGGGCAGGGCAGGTCAGTCTTGTGCTGGAACCCCAACCTGAAACCCTCACTCCCCTAACTTTGAGAGCCCCTCTCAATATTGCCTGAACACTTCCCCCCATCTGCTACAGCCTCTAGCCACCAGCATCCAGCTATGCCTCCTGATGCCCCCGTGGAGCCCCTCCAGACCTCACCCCTCAGCCTCCAGCCTCTCTCAACCCAGGAACATGGCCTCCATACGGAAATACATATGGCACTCTGGGAGCCCTGGCACAAGCAGGGCATAGACTCACCAGGGGGTTACAGTTCTTGCCCTCGAATCGGGGATGCAGTATGAAGGGAACCCCATCCATGGCTAAGGAGAGCACAGAAGAGAGGGAGCTGAGGAGAGGATTGGGCCCTGCTTGTTGACGCCTCTGGCCCCAGCTCTCACCAGTCTTTACACAATGGTGGCAGGGCCAGGCCTGGCTCCAACCTGCCCCCACCCACCCCGCCATCTTCCTAGACTCATGATAAGGTTACTTCCAATAATACTACATCTTACCTATCAGACATCATAGTTGTGCCTATCCAAGCTTAAACTTGCTCAGAATACTGACATTAACTTCAACTTGGGCAAAATCATCTAACACGATGCCTATTTTATACGAAAGTGTGAAACAGCTCCTGTAATTGATTGACTATATGGTACAATGCAGAGTGTGGATTGTTTCCCTTCATGATCTCAGGGCTGACTAGGAGCTGTGCTCACTATCGCTGCCCAGCATCACAAGAGAGGACTGTAACATACAACTCTAGACTGGGAAAAGATCAAAATTTAAAATTCTAAGTTGAAAAATCTTAAGTTCAACCACTATAAGTGCAGGGACCATCTGCATAGTCTGGTCACTCCCCACCCCTGTGCCTCAGTTTCCTAATTTGTTTACCTGAGATGCCATAAAGGTTGGAGGCATCATAGATAGAGTCGCTCCTCCGCAGGGTGGAAGCCCGAGAGCCCAGCCTTGACAGCGTCCGCTCTGGGAAGCCATCCTTGCTGGGGAAGGTGGAACACGCCAATCAGGTCTGTTGCCCCCTGGGCTGCTCCCATCCCCAAACCCAAAGACTCACCTAGGCTCGTTGGGTGGGTCCAGGGACAGGCCCCGCATATCCCTGCTAAGAGCTCGGGGCTTGGGCACCGGCTTAGGGGCCTTGGCCTTCTGGCACCAAATGGAAAAGCCTCCCATGTCCCTAAAGGGGGAGGGAAGAAGAAAAGAGTCCTGGTCCAACATGCCCCCAGGGCTGAGAGTAGCTGCCAGGGCGGGAGAGGAGGAACCTGGGCCTCTAGATGACTGCTGCCCTTTGGAGAATTCTCCTTTCAGCATCTCATCTTAAGCAACATACTAATACTGTTTGGTGCAATCACTGTGCTATGGACTTGAGATATCATTTACGCCTCACAACAACCCTATGTGATTAGTACAATTTTAATATGTGGAAACAGGCAGAGAAATAGCAGAAGGGATGGAAAGATTCAGATGAGTCCCTGAGAGCCAAAAGGGTAGATAGAGGAGTTGGGAAGGCAAGGAAGAAAGTCAGAGGCTGGGCAGGGAGGTCAGTCCTACCCTACTCGATGGTATCCAGGCACTGTCTTGGTTTTCCCACTAAGCCGGACGTCAAACACAGCCACATCTGCGGCCCCCAGGGGCACCAGCTTCATACACATGCGTTTCTTCTTGGACACAGAGGCCTCTGGGAGTGGAGGGTGGGGAGTAAGAGGAAGGAAAAACCAGGGGAGGATCCCAAAGGTGGCTCTCTGAGATGGTGCTCACCAGGGCGCTTTTTAAGGCAGCCACCTGGAAGGCCTTATGGCAGTGGTTAAATCATTGATGGTATAGCCACAGGAGGGTACTCAATGCAACTTTTAGGAGCTATTGGGACAGGCTCATCTTTGGTGACACAGAGCATTCATGGAGTGGCCATGAGAGTCAAATATAAAAGACAAAAACACCGTGGCAGGCAAGGGCGCCAGATGATTAGAAAGCAGAGCAGTCAGGGCTGGGAGGTGGGACCAGCACCAGGGTTTAGGGAGCCAGAGAGAAATGATGGGGAGAATGGCGTATTAGCTAACCGGAAGATTCAGGGAAGGGTGCTCCAGGCAGAGGTATCGGTGTGTGCAAAAGCTTGGAAATGAAAGAGAGAACTGCGCGTGGTTCAGCTTGGCTACGATGCAGAGAGAGACATAGCAGCAACAATAATAAAACAGGTCGCGTTGACTGGATTCTTACTCTAGGACAGAGACTGTGCCAATGGCACATTTTTATGAAGGGCAGGTCACGCCGGCTCAGAGTCCTCGGCCAACCCTGTCATCACTCAGTGCAACAAGGGGGCGGAGAGGCTCAGAAATCGCGAAACTGTTGTCCCTCCACTACCTCCCCCCACCCATCCTCTCCGCAGGGGAGCGAACGCGCCCCTCCACCCCACCCCACGCCACCACCACCCGCCTCACTGGAGTCCTGGGGATCGCAGACCGGGGAGTAGCCCGGAGGGAGGGGGCTCTTGTCCAACAGAACCTGGATATCGGTCACCACGTTCTCCTGTGGATTCTGGAGGGGGACACGCAAGAGTCACTCAGCAGCAGAAACATAGCGCCGGGCACAGGCGAATGGGCGGGGGGGGGGCGGGGGGAGAATAAGGGAACTTCGGAGACCCCCAAGGGGGCACCCTTACCTCTAGGCTGCTCAAGCGATTGAGGCACAGAAAGTAGCCAGATTTCTGCGCGAAACTCTTGCCGAAGCTGGCGGGAGTCCCCTCCACGGTGCAGGAGATCTAGGGAGCGGACGCGGGTCAGCACCAGGATCCAGACCCGGCCACTGCCGCCTCTGCCCCGATTCAACCCCGTTCCCCTAAACGTTGCTCACCGCACTGAAACCCCTGGGCGGGGCCGCCGAGGCCGACGACCACACCAGACTAGCCAACGGGGCTGCATCGGACCCGGGCCCGGGATCCATCTTCCAAGCCAAGCGCCGAGGGCGGTGGGCAGCCTCGGACCTCAGAGTCGACGAGCTACTGCCGAGTTCCAGCAGGAGCCTGAACTACAACTCCCAGTTGGCTTTGCGAAGGCGGGGACCCCGGAAAAACCGTTTGCGCTTGCCCGGAAAGTCGCCGGCCAATCTTGTGGGGACGAGGAGCTACGCTCTTTCTGAGTCACCAAGGTGCGCCCATGAGCGACGTTTGCGGAAAATTGACTTGCAACCCTCTCACACACAAGAGCTTCCGCCGGAAATGTCCCAGGGCCTCGCGAGGGTACTTGCGGGCTACAAATGAGAACTACGTTCCCCAGAATTCCTTGTGTTGCCAGTTGCTCTTCCAGGCACATGCCCGTGTTCCCGGAAAATGTAGGGAAGAAATGCAAAAAACCCGTAATTCTAGTTCCGAGAAAACAACACAAAGTAAAATCGCGTTGTGCAGGGGAAAACACGACCACTATGGGTCATGACATCTTGGGTGATCTTGAGGACTACAGATACAATGTCTTTTATTTATATATTTTTTAAAGATTGATTTATTTATGCATATAAGAGTTGGGGTGCAGGCCAGAGATGCGGGGTGTGAGAGGATTCACCAGAGACAGAGCAGGGAGCTGAATAGGTGGATCTACTGCTGAGAGGAGCAGCAGGCGAGACAGGAAAGTCTGCTGCACCATGTGGGTCACCTCCCTGACCGGGACTCGAACTCCTGCTGCAGTGGCTGCGGATAGCTTCATAGTGCTGACGTTTAACTTTGCACCACCCGGGAGGCCCCTACAGTGTTTTGTTTTGTTTTTCCATTCATTCATTTGTTCATTCATACAAGCACTGGGTACAGTCAGAAGCACGGTAGGGTGAGAGAATTCAGCAGAGCCAGAGCGGGGAGCAGAACAGACTGACGAAATACACTGCTGAGGGGAGCAGCAGACGCAGCAGGAGAGGTCTGTCGCGCCATATGGGACCCTCGCCGGCGGCCGGGGATCGAACTGGCGCTGCAGAGGCTGAAGGCAGCTTCGCAGCCCAGCGCTCAACCGCTGCGCCACCAGGGGAGGCCCCCTTACAATGTTTTTTTAAAATGAGAAACCAAAGTATTCAGTGTGGCAACATGCTTTTACATCCATCAGGGAGTAATATGGCTAATTGGGGAACAGAATATTATCTAGTGTTCTATATTTTCCAGCTTTCTACAATATTTTGGATTGGCTTATTGCATAGTTTGTACCACCTGTGAGCTGAGAATGGGTTTTGTATTTGTAAATGATTGGGGAAAGAATCAAAAGAATATTTACTGACATTACATTCAAATGTCGCTGTCCATGGAAATAATGTCTTTGGGCAAACTGACCTAATAATGATACACAGAAGTGAAAAACATGGGTTCCCCTTGAGGTAGCTGGTTATTCCCACCCCTTAGGAGAAATGTGGGTTTCTGATTTTATAATTGATCTTAGCCAAAAGGCCAAGAAGCGATTTTCTCACTTTAGAAGTTCCCTGGAGTGAAGTTTGAAACTGGACCCTAGTTAATAGAAAGCAAAGAAAGACCAGAGACCATTCCAGACTGGCAGGTGGCAGTTTTAATAGGAAAGGGAACTTACATATGAGACTTACCCTCAGCAACTGCAAGAACAGTGGATTTCCACACCTGCCTGCCAGAATTTTAAGAGTTTGTATAGACCCCTTGCCAAAATTCAGCAATGTGCCCTGTGCAGATGGTCTCGACAACACATGACTCTCTCAACGTCCGCATCTTCGAAAATGTCTCCATTGTAGGAACGGGGCAGAATGTGCATTCCAAGGACAGGGGAGAGGATGAAGAGCTTCCAGTTGTCTAGTCCAACTCTGGTCAACTGACAGTCACCTCTTCTCAAGACCCGCTTCAAAACTCCATGCCTCCTGACCAACTCTTATAATCTCACATGCCCTGTCTTCTGCAATGTACCCTGAGTGATTGGTACGGAGTTTCATTAGCATGGAGATGGCTATTTTGGTGGCTCTCCTGCTGCACTGGAAGCAGATGCCAGGACAACAATGTAGGCACATGCAAGGGAAATCACAGCTTAAGACAATAATTCCTAAAATTATCCATTTTTCCCACCAAAAGCCCTTGATCTGAAGTACTGATTTGTTAAGTCCTCTGGGCTGGGGGTCAGATCATGCAGGGTGTTCACTTGTGTCCCCTTGCGCCACCAGGGAGTTCCTGTATCCTGACTTCTTCCTTGGCATAGGAAGATTGTAACCACAATTGCCAATCTCCCTCTTCTTAAGGCCAGGTGTTACATTCTATTTTCACTGGTGTGATCATTTGACTGCCATCATTGCCCACTTTATTGGCTTAGAGGATGTTATAACACACATAGAAGTCCTTACTAATCTCACCCAGCAAGCCTTAAATGTTAGCTGACAGAGCCTATCCTTATTCAACACTGCAATGTCTCTAGTGACAAAAGCTGTCCTTCAAAATGGGGATCGACTTGGACATTAGTACTGCCTTGCAAGGAAGCACTTGCGCCTTTATCTCACTAAGCAAAGTGTTGTGTGTTCATACCAGATGAGTCTGCCAATGGGTCACAAGTGAACACCCTTCCACAGCTTCCACAATTTCTGGCAGAACATCACTTGTGGCTGGCACTGCATCAAGTTGTCGAGCCCCATGATTTTACACCAAGATCCCATCCAAACCATGTTTAACTGCCTTCCTTGCATCATCACCTCTCAGAATGCCTTTTGCAACAATTGGCAGAGAAGTCAGTCCCCTCAGCCACTTCATATCCTCCCAGATCATAGCTGGGTCAATTGCTTTAGCCACACAAATAGCAAGTCCGCTGTTGTCTCCAAAATTTTCATTAGGAGAAAATGATAAATCATTGGCTTCAAAATTTTTCATTCTGAGTTGGGATGGCAGATTGAACTGGTTACTCATATCATCAAAACGGTTGCCCAACAAATGGGTGCCCATAGTCACAAATCTGGCCTTGTAGCTCATCCGCTCTGCCCGCCACACCAGCTGCTTGGTGACCTCACAGTCCTTGTAGATATACAGTTGCAGCCAGCCAAGTGCTTCAGGACCAGCGTCTGCCACTTCAATTGAAGAGGTGGCCCAAGAACTCAGCATCATGCCAGTTCCTAGTGACCTGCAGGCTCGCACAGTTGCCAGCTCTCCATCTACATGGGCCATACGTTGCATGGCAGTGGCCCCCACACATATTGGCATGCTGACCCTCTGCTCTAAAACAGAAGTTGACAGATCTATTTCAGCAACATTCTGGAACATCCGAGGGTACAGTTTCCATATCTGTTTCAGGACCAAAAGGCAAGCACAGTTTCTTCACATGTCTCTCTGCTCCATGTGCCTCTTCCAGGTCTACTTCTGGCTCTCCATCCTGCTTCCTGCCTTCCTCAGTCTCCTCTCAAAGTGTTTGTCTTTATGTGGTGGATGGCAGAACCCTATTTAGAGAAGCAGATTAGGGGGGCTCTCAGGTTACCCCTCATTTTGCCCACTAGCAAGTGGATGTACTGGGGTGGGAAACACCACCTTCACCCCTCTTTGGATGGTGTGAGTTCCATTCCAGGAGCAGTGAGTTTTCCAGGAACAGGTCCCGCTTTCAACAGGGCAGTGGGGACTGAGTAGTCGCCTACACCCGGGATGGGAAATCACTTGCCAATTCCAGTATAGGACGTCCCCTTGCCAATTGCAGTAAATGACACCTCTCCTAGGCATGATGGCTTTGGTGTTCTCAGCAGCACAGCAGGTTGGCCCATGGTGGGAGTCTGGTAATGACTGGTTTCCTAGGCATCCATGCCTTTGTGATGCCGAGTCCCTTGGCAGGGGTCCCTGCTCTGGCATACGGAGCAACAGACTCTACTGGGTGAACTTTCAACCATTCAGCCAAGCTGACTTTATGCATTAGTGATTTAATCTACTGCTATAATATTGCATTTTCCCCTTTTTTTTTAAAGATTTATTTATTTATTTATACAAGCACTGGGTACAGTCAGAAGCGCAGGAGGGTGAGAGAATTCACCAGAGCCAGAGCGGGGAGCAGAACAGACAGAAGGACCGAAGTACACTGCTGAGGGGAGCAGCGGGCAGCAGGAGAGGTCTGCGTGCCATGTGGGACGGCGGCTGGGGATCAAACCGGCACTGCAGAGGCTGTGGGCAGCTTTGCAGCCCAGCGCTCAATCGCTGCGCCTCCAGGGGAGGCCCTGCATTTTTCCTTTTTACCAACTCTACTACTTGCAGGTTTTAAAGGAGAGGGAATCTCCATTCAATGTCATGTTCTTTTGCTCAGTCATGTCCTTTGGAAACCTGATCACTGTCTATTCAACAAGGGTCGCCATACTCGGTACTCAGATTCTCTGATCCCCTAATGGTGGCAACCTGCTTCACACAGTGATAAGGGAAAGCTTAGCCAGACACATTGTCCCCACTTGGATGAAGGGGTCCAATATACTCACTCTGCCAGTCCCTCACCTGTTGGTGACTCCAATGGATGTCCCCAAGACTCCTTTGACTGGCACCTTGGGTGTTGTTTAGAACATGGAAGACATGCTGTTACTGCATTAACCAAATGACTGTATTTCAAGAGTAATTAGCTTTTTTGGCAACATGCCATGACAGCAGGGTGCATAGGCAGCTCCTCATCTTATGCACCCAATCTGCTGCATCTATTGCAGTGAGTTGCTAGCCTCTTACTAGGGCATCAGCTGCCTGATTCCCCAGGAAGGCTGGAGTGGGTAAGTGGAGGGGGGTGTCTGAATATAGAAGATAATGAGGATTGCCTCAGATTCTTGCAGACAAACCCAATAGTCTTTCTACATACACCAACGCCACACGGAATTATTCACAATCACCCACCCTTCAGGTTCCCATTATCCAAGCTTTAGGGTTAATCCCTTTAGAAGGGTCCAAAGATCAACACATGGGATAAAGGCCGCTGGGGCTCCTCAGTGATCACCAGCCAAACTGCTGAGTTGAGTCCCTGGCTGCTGGAGTTCCTTTCCATTTCCATCCAGATGGTGTCAGTGTTCGACCGAGTACCAGCCACAGTCCTTATGTGTGGGCTGTTTGGACTAGACACATCTGTGTAGCCGACAACGAAGGGAATCTCCCCTGCTCCCTCCCTACGGGCTGCAGGGGTTGCCACAGGAATGGAGCGAGGCATTTGGGGATCCACATGTTCTACAGGGCCAAATAACACTCATTTCTAGACAGTGGGTAGGCATGCAGCGTGCTCCTCTGGGTAAATATGCAAAGAGGCATACCACTTACATCACTTTGGGGGGTTAAGCCCTGGCAGAGGTGGGTCAATAAAATATGTTCTCAACCCCACACCTTGATAGGAAAGAAATTTCTTACCACATCATGCTGTTTTTCCATGTATTTCCACCTGGAAGACCCTGGGTAAATGCTAAGAGGTATATCAGTTTTCTGGCCCCTTTCAGAGGTGACTAGGGGCAACCTCTCCTTCTGTGGTTTCTGCCAATGCCCTGCTCATGCCTTCACAGATGCACCTAACTGAAGCGGAAGCCTGGCTTGGGAGACGCCCAGAGCTTTAATTAGCTTCACCAATATTTATACCTTCTCAAAGAGACCTTGCTGCTGTAACCCCCAGTCCCACACATGCCCTTTTTTTCCCAGGCAGTGATGGAAGGATGGAGACACTGCCACGTGGAAAATAAAAGCCCCCACAACCCAAAAATCCCTTCAAAACTTTGCACCTCTTTCATCTTCTTGGGGGCTGGCTAGACTGCAGCTTTTCAGTCACAGTCTCTGGGACAAGTGTCTGATCCTCACTGTTCCTGAGCAATGGGCTTGCTCCCTGGTGTGCATGAGCTAATTATGAAACCAGATTTTGAAAGAAAAGTTTATTGTAAGTCGCTAAGAAAGGAGGCAAAAGAAAAAAACTCAAATCTGTTCGCACTTTTAGGTAGGAGAAAGGGTTTTATATTGGTTTCGGGAGTTGGGGTTGAGAACAAAGGAGTTAAGTTTTATTAGCCAAGGAGCAGGTTAACAGCAAAGAAATGTGGGTTTGAAGTTCATTGGTTAGGTAGAGGGCCTTCCATACACAGAGAAGTACTTCATATTCAGATAGCTGGAGTTTCAAATTTTGTAACATGGTGGTCCCCAAGAAAAGGGGAGGTGCCAGGTTCCCTGCTCCACTTAAAGGAGGGTGGAGCTGAGCAGAGAGAGAAGCTGCTGCAGAGGAGACTGAGGAAGGAAGGAAGCAGGATGGAGAGCCAGAAGGAGACCTGGAGGAAGCACATGGAACAGAAAGACACGTGAAGAAACTGCACTTGCCTTATGGTCGTGGACTGGTTGACACAACAGATGTGGGTGAGAGACCCGTGGGGAGATGACAATGGCAGTTTTTGTCTTGATTTTGATTTTTCTCTTTTCCTCCCAGACTTGTCTGGTTGTTTCTGATCCTTTTCTGTGGGTCACCACCAGAAGGTGCTTTAGACTTGTGGCAGGCTTTCGGGCCTTGCTCTGGGCCAGTCCAGTTTGGGTGGCGTTTTACCCAAGAGGGGGTAAAACTTTGGGTACTTGATTTAGAAACTATCATCTTTGTCTTTTCTGTATTGTTCACTAATTGTATTAAAGTTCCTTTCCATAAAAGGTCTATATGTTTTGTCTTGATGCGACAGATGGCAGAACCTACTTCAAGCAGGCAGCTTTGGGGGTCCTGGGGTGCCCCTCTCCCTGCCCTGTTAACAATTCCACTCTAGTATCCCTCACTGGAAAAAAGGCTGAGAGATAGTTCCAATTAATCTGGAAATAGAATCAGAAGTGATGGGAGCAATGCGTGTATAATTTAGAGGGACCTCCTTCTTGCCTAGAAAGGAAAAAACCCTACTGCTTTACTGCTCGGGGCTGCTCTCCAGCTTTCTGACACTGCCCACTGCCTCTTACAGTGTTCTGTCCTGCAGCTTCCTAATAAACTTTGTTGCTGGCTTCATTCTGGTGCTTTATGAAATTCTTTTCTTGAAAGATAACTCCAGTATCAGGGGCCTCAATGCCACCATGGGGCTGAGCAAGAACATCAGTGATCCAGGGGACTGGAGTATCTTAACTTTCATTCCTGCAGAGAAGGTGGCCCTGCCGGGGACTTCAGAGGCAGGGGTGTAGATGGCCTGTGTCCCTAAGGAGCTGTTGTACCTCTTCCATAGGTTTCCAGGGTCCAAGATGCCCAGGAAGATCCCTTTCATTGGGCCACCCTCCCCCACTCTAAAATAATTCATCAAATGGATTGAGTTCTGGGCCTCCCCTGGTGGCGCAGGCAGTTGAGCTTCAGTGCCATGAAGTTGTCTGCTGAGGCTGCAGTGTGGGTTTGATCCCAGCCAGCAGGCGAGACTCCCACATGGCGCAGCAGACCTCTCCTGCCTAGCCCGCTGTTCCCCTCAGCAGTGTATTTCAGTCAGTTTGCCTGTTCTGTTCCCAGCTCTGTCTTTGGTGAATCCTCTTACCCTCCCGCACATCTGGCCTGTACCCCAGTTCTTGTATACATGAATAAATAAATCTTTAAAAAAAATGGATTGAGTTCTTTGAGCCTCACCCCCAGCCCCACAAGCACACCGGGTTGCCTGTTGATGTGGCTCTTTTTCTCTGCCTTCTGCTTGGTCAGAAAAAAATGCCATTACTCCCAGAATCCCAGTGTCGCACTGACTGTGCCTGGAAACAGCTCTTTCAATGTCCAGTGGGTGTATATTCTGTCATCTGAAACTTCTCCTGAAGAGTGGTTATCTTGCCGGTTGGGGTTGTGTTGCAGGATTTTTGTCTTTTTTGTACTAGGGATCAGAAGGCACCAGTACTTTGTCCATTTCATTGTCAACCACCACAACATGTTCCGCGTCACTCCCCTCACTTTCTCTTTTTAAAAAATATTCATTTATTTATGCATACAAGAACTGGGGTATAGGCCAGAGGTGTGGTGAGTGAGAGGACTCACCAGAGACAGAGTGGGGAGCAGAGAAGATGGATTGACTGAAATACACTGCTGAGGGGAGCAGCAAGTGAGGTAGGAGAGGTCTGCTGCACCATGTGGGCAGTTCCCTGGCTGACCAGGATTGAACTGCTGCAGTGGCTGTGGACAGCTTCATAGGTTGCATCTTAACCCCTTGCACCACCAGGGAGGCCTGACTGTGGGTCCTCACTTGTGCACTGAAACAGACTTATAAGACTCAACTGCAGGCACACATAAAAAGGTTAATAAGGGTTTATTTACAAAAGAAGAGAAAATGAAGAAATGAATAACTCTGGGGGAAAGAGAGGGAGATAAATTGGTGAATACGTCCTACCAGTTCCGGAATCCCAATGGCACA